TCAATGGTGAGCTCGGTGGGGCAGAGAGCAAGGAAGTGGTCCCTGACCGCACGAAGGGAGTCAGGGAGACGGGTGACCAGGTGGTAAAGAGTGAGCCACAGCGGGGGGGGGTTCTTGGCAAGGAACTCAGCGGGCATGGCAGCACGGAAGCGGGTCTCACTGGTGTGGAGGTGAGTAATGAGGTCAGCGACTGTGGAGAAGGCGGACAGGTCTGGGAACATATAGGGCAGTGAGAGGCGGCCTAGCGCAGCAGAGGCAGGCGAGGAGTAGCGCGCAACTACAGCAGTGTACAGTGCCTGGGCAGTCTTGTGCTGGCCAAAGTGCTCGCGTTCATCTACCGGCAGGGAGTTGCGAATGGCGAAGCGAGAGTGGGCGTCACGAGTCTGCCACTGTGAGCGGGCTGTACTGTCCGCAGTCGCAGCAGGAGCAGGAGCGAGTCCCAACGCATGATCATATAGCGAAATATCCTCCTTAGCAGTGAGCTGGAGGAACAGATGGAGGTCCTCGAGCCAGGTTTCAAAACGCAGCGGGCGGCCCTCAGTATCGAAAGCTAGAACTGAAGGACTAGCCATAGGTTCAGTAGGAGCAGTAGGAACAGCAGCAGTAGTAGCAGCAGCAACAGCAGTAGTAGCAGCAGCAGTGAAATAGCACAGCGCGGCTCGGGCAGGGCGGCACGGCTCGGTTCGGGCAGGGCGGCGCGGCGCGGCTCGGGAAGGGCGGCGCGGCGCGGCTCGGCTCGGGCAGGGCGGCGCGGCGGCTTGCCTGCGCGCGGGTGTGGTGCTGCGCGGGGGCAGCAGGCTGCGCGTGCGGCTGCGCGTGCGGTCGTGCGTGCAGCCTAGCGAGCGGCCGTGCGGGCGGCGTAGCGGGCGGCTGCGCGTGCGGCTGCGTGGGCGGCTGCCCGTGCGGTTGCGCGGGCGGCTGCGCGTGCGGCTGCACGTGCGGCTGCGCGTGCGGCTGCACGTGCGGTCGTGCGTGCGGCCTAGCGGGCGGCCGTGCGTGCGGTCGTGCGTGCGGCTGCGCGTGCGGCCTAGTGGGCGGCTGCGCGTGCGGCGGAGTGGGCGGCTGCGCGTGCGGCTGACGGGCGGCGCGCGCGGCTGTCCTAGGGGCGCACGACGGCGCTAGTAGGAGGGGCGCTCGACGGCGCTAGGAGGGGCGCTCGACGGCGCTAGGAGGGGCGCTCGACGGCGCTAGGAGGGGCGCTCGACGGCGCTAGGAGGGGCGCTCGACGGCGCGGATAGGGGCGCACAAGGGCGCGGCGGAACGGTGGGCCCTAACCAACGTCGGTCCTAGGTCCTGACCTAGGCGTCGGATACCATGTTAGAAACTAGAACTGAACGAGAATGAAGTGAACTAGGCAGCAGGGTGATACAAATAGGAAACCCTAGCAATGTTGTACTCTCTAAGGCTAAACCACTATAGCCTACACAATATAAACATGTATAATGTTTGACATCTCTCTCTCTCTCTCCCTCTCCCTCTCTCTCCCTCTCTCTCTCTCTCTCTCTCTCTCTCTCTCTCTCTATCTCTCTCTCTCTCTCTCTCTCTCTCTCTCTCTCTAATGGTCCTTGTATTGATATAGGTGAAAAGTACATGCATGCAGGTGTTTTAAGATTCTAGAACAAACCAGAAACCACAACACAAACATCACTACCTACCCATTCCCTCCCCTAGAGCTCTAGGTAGGGCTCAACCACCGCAAAACAGTCCCCTGGATGGAGCTCCTGACCGATACCCCCTACAGGCGGGTTCTCTGCTGCTGCCGCCTTGCCCAACTTGAGGAGGAGACCAACCGATTGGGCCCTCTGCAGGGCCACTGACCAGCGCTGCCGAAATAGGTGCAGAAACTTGGCGGCGTAAAAAGATTTTGAGTCGGCGTTGAAGTGCCGCCGAGCCGCAGTATCCGCGAGTAGTTTAAGGAAGACAGGGACTTCCGCGCATGGACAGCCATAGGTGTCTACCGCTAGAGGGAAAAAACCCACTGTCTCTGGCCGGTTGGCATAATGCTTGATTTTCTTATCAGCTTGTTCTCGTGCCGCCCAGCCCCTGCCTTTCTCTGCCTCCCGGTCCCTTGTGCTGATAGGGTCAGTGACGGTGACGTCACACACGTAAACCGCCCCACTGCTCCTGTCCGTCATGGTGAAATCTGCGGTTTGTTCCTGGATGGGGCAGAAAACAGCCGACTCGCTGTGAACAATGAAACCCGCGTGCTGCGCCATGCTAATGCACGCATCCCGCAGCTCATTGTGGGTGTTAACGCGATGCTTGCCCGTGCCGCAGCGGAGGAGGTGGTTCGGGAGGCGGGGGTCTGTGATAGCCGTCTGTTCTGCGCAGTCACAGTTCTTAGGCGTGGAAAAGGGGAGGCCCAGCCGAAACCGCACAGCGTTCGCGAAGTGCACGGGGCCTATTCGTCTAGTGGCCTCGATTGGGATCGCGGTCAGCCAATCCCCGGTGCCGTACCCAGTCAGCGAGAACATCCGCTGCGTATGGCCCGAGAGAGGGTTTGGTTGCATGTGCCTAGTTGCCTGGACCTGTGCGGCGTATCTGCTCCCGTGCACCTTCAAACCAAGCACGTGCTGAAGCCTAACGTCCGATCGCTCTAACCGCTCCTTCTCCAGGATTTCCCGCGCGTCTAGAGGCAGGGCTGCTTCGCACTCTGTGAGCCACGAGTGCAGGGGGGTGCTGTCGTCCCGGGGTGCCACCATGTGAATCCTGGCCAAAGTCAACGCACTGTCAGGTTCTAGCGCAAGGGAGGATAGAAAAAGGTCCGCTTGGGTGAAGCTCGCTGTGAAACCGTAGATCCCTTCTACGACCGGGTCCGTTATGCCTATGCCGCCTAGCGACGTCGGCAATGACGCCTGTTCCCAGACACGTTTTTGCTCGGCGCTACATGTTGGCACGCGGATGTCGCATGAGGTGAGTAAGGTAATGAGTAGGTCCCTTCCCCACTGGCTCCAGGTGGCGCGAGGGAGTAAGTGGAGCGGAGTCGTCCTAATGAGGTAAGCTACGCGCCTGGAAATACATCGCGTGAGGAGTAGTGCTGCCACCTGTGGGTCTGCTCGCTCTATCAGCGGTAATGGCTTAGCCATCTCCTCTAACTGGCCCGAAAGAAAACCGGCTGCTCCTACGTCAGTCCCGACGTAGCTACCTAGAAGCCGTACTCCGTCCTTGGAAAACGGCACCCCGGGCGGAAGTTGAGTCTGTGGTAATGCGGTTGAGCTCCACGCCGCGCATTTCTGCGGGTTATGCGTCAGGCCCAGCTGTGCTAATTTTGCTGTGAAGTGCATGAAAGCCGCTACAGTGCGCGATGGGTCACCCAGGAAGGTGACGTCATCCGCGTACGCCAAGCAAAGCACGTCGGGGTGTGCTTCTGCAGTGTCGCGAAGCGTGGGGTGTATCCCTGCTGCAAACAGTAGCGGGCCGAGTGGGTCCCCCTGCCGCACACCCCGTTCACTGTGCAACGGTTCGCAGTTGAATTTCGAGTCCAGGAGCAGTTGCGACGGGTTACCGTAGGTCAGTTTCACGAACGGCTGCAGTGGCGAGAGCTTGGGGTCGTGTAACGCTGTGGCGATGGCGTGTCGCGAGATACTGTTGAATGCATTGGAAATATCGGCTTGCAGGACCAGGCAGTTTGGGCGGGCATCCAGGAATGCTCGGGCTGTGTGGATAACCGTCTCTGCTCCACCTGGGACTGCCACGCCGTACTGAAGTGGTAAGAAATATTCTCGGGCAGCTTCCCCCATGGCTGTCAGGGCTGCCTTGGCTGTCAGCCTTGTCAAACACTCGCTTATCGCGATTGGGCCTGGCTCCTCCCCCAGGTTTGGCCAGGGCTATCAGCCGTGACGCAGTCAGGAGGCTCGCGACCGGGCCTGGCAAATTTCCCCCCAGCAGGGTGTTGACCAAGGCGTGCAGGTGGGTGCTGATCATTGCGTTAGTGGTGGCCGCGTCGCGCATGTGCTCAAATGTTGTGCCTGACGGACCGGCCCCCACCCCATTCTCGCATCTTCCCAGGATCTTGGCGAATTCGGCGTGGGTGATGGACAGCTTCGTCTCGGGTGGCACGGGCCAGATCACCGCCTCGTGCGCAGCAGGTGGGTGTTTCTGACGGAGCTCCTCCAAAATTTCCGGGCTGGGGGTGCAGACTGGCGTTGACTCCAGAGCCAGCACGGCTCGGCGTAGACTGCCCCGTTTCGCGAGCCCCTCAGCTCGGCTGATGACTCCGGTCGTGTCAGGCTGGTGTCGTAGCGGTGGGGGTGTGTTGACCGCGTCCACCGTGTCCAGGTACAGCCGCTCCCATTCGCCACGCTGGAAGGCCCGGAGCTTGGCTTTGACCCCCCGCCAGTCTGGTCGCTGTGGCGATGTTTGGCGAAGTGTTAGTCGAGGAAGAAACAGCAGCAGTCGCCAACCCGTTTCGGATTCGGGGTTTCGCGAAAGGTGGAGTAACGGTGTCAAAAGCGCCTGCGAAAACAGCTGGCATAGGTTTGGCGGTAAACGGCGTGACAGCGTAGGCTGACGACTGTCGCAGAGAGCTCCAATGTCCCAGCCAGCGATGGCCGCGAATAAGTCCTCACGCCTCGCCAGCTCGTCAGGCGAAAAGTAGCGGGGGAGCAGAATAGTTTGGCGCGTCACGGTATTGGCAGCGGCGGTTCGATTTCGTCTACCGCGGCTCGTCCTTGCTGGGGTGTCAGTGGTTGGATTGTCACCCGTTCGATCTGCATCTGACGGTTGCTGATCCGCCTGTGGTATTTGCGTGGACGAGCGGCCCACCCCGCCTGCACTTCTCCCTTCTGCCTCTCTCACCCTGCCTTCTCCCTCCGATTCCTCATCTTCGCTTGGTGGGAGGGGTTCTTCCCTATAAGAAGGGTCCCTCAACTCCTCGTCTTCATTAGTTGCTGCCAACACTGTTAAAGCCATTCTCGCCGCTGCTTGGTACCCGTTCTCCGGACCCCCGCCTGTCCCGCTAGTTACCAGCCTCCGGCCTTCACGACCTCCCTGCTCTCCCGATGGTGATTGCCGGAGCTCATGAGCCGTCGCCAGAGCTTGTTGCCGCCTGGTCGGCTGTCGTCGCCAAGCCTCCGTCGGGGCCCGAAAAGGTGACCATGGCGACGAAGCCCCCTCTACCGCCGGCTCTGAAGCCCGTGACAACAGACGCTGAAAGGACTCTTCCCCTCGCACCCGCGGATCCCCATGGCGGGGGCGGGGCGGGCCCGGCTGCCCCTGTTGTTGATCCGGCTGCTCCGGCTGCAGCTCTTGTTCCCCTCGCTCCTGTGGTTGTGCCGACGGCGTCTGCTCCTCCTGGGGGAGTTGCTGACCCCCCTGCTCCTGCCCCTGGCGCGCCCGTTGCGCCGGCCGCTTCTGTCCCCGACGTGCCTGCGCCGTTGTCTGCTTCGTCCCCGCAGGCGGGGTCCGCCACCACTGGCGGCCCGACCCCGATGGTTGAGGCTCCGGCCGTGGACCCGACTGCACCTGCTGCGCTCCCGACGGCCCCGGTAGCGCAGCCGTCTCGTCCCCCGTCGCCGGACCGCCGCCTATCCCGCCCCCACTCTCCCGCGCCCCAACAGGAGCGCGAGTCGTCGCGGCGCCGGCGCAACTCTCCCCGGCGCTACCAGCCGCCGGCCCAATGGCCTGCTCACCCCGGTGGTAATGCGGGCTGGAGGGGTCCCCGCGGGCGTGGCGGTGGCGGGGGTTACCGCCGGCCTGTGACAATGGCGGATCTTCAGCGGGAAGTGTCGCGGGCCGTGCGCGAAGAGCGGGCGGCGCAGAGCCAGAGCAGTTCGCTGCGGGCCGCGCCAGCGCGCGTGGCTCCTCGTCTGGCTGAGCCTCCCGTGGTCCCTCCGCCAGCCGCTGCACTTCCCCCTCCTGACTTTGCCCCATCGGTTCATGCTCCTGCTGCCTCGGCCCCTCCCTCTGGCTCTCGTCTCCATCTGCCGCCGGTTCCGCCTGTTGCGGGAGTGGAGTTTGTTGCTGCGGGTGGTGGCTCGTCGGCGTAGTATTCCCACCATGGTGCTGCGGAAGAGCCACTTCTTTTCCTGACGGAGGCACTGCAGCCTCCGCAGACGCGTGTTCCAGAGGCGACGCTTGGCCAGCTTCACCGACTCGCGGAGAGCCTCCACGCGTTGCTGCTGATTCAAGTTCTCGCTCACTCGTCCCTCCCCGTGACTCCTCCAGAGACTTTCCGCGAACGCCAGCGTGACACGTGCTTGGACGCGGCGGACCAGCTCGCGTCGCTGCTGGCGCCCGTGTTGGCTGCGCCCGCGGAGGGTGGGGCTGCTGCTGCGGGACAGCTTGACGAGGCTGTCCGGGGCTTGAGGCGGCACTTGCGCGAAGGATCTGGAGCCGCGGCGATCGGCGCAAGCACGCTTGTGGTCCGGGAGCTGTGGCGCTCCCTGACGGGCGTTCTTCACGCCCTTGGAGCTCACCGCATGTAGGCGCGGGCTCCGGTTGCTCCATTTTGTTGTTCACGCGGCTAGGCCGCGGTAGGAGTTGCCATGTGTGTAATGCATGTGTTTTTAAACAGCGCTATGTGTGGTTACTTGCCGTCCCCTCGACGGCGCGGCCGGCCGACGCGAGCGGAAAATTTCAGCCGCCAACTGAACAATGAGGAGGAGAAGGCTAAGACGGGCCCTTAAGTAGCTAGGCAACCGAGGGCAGAGGCTAAGGCCAGAGGGCAGAGGCTATTCCTCTCTCTCTCTCTCTCTCTCTCTCTCTCTCTCTCTCTCTCTCTCTCTCTCTCTCTCTCTCTCTCTCTCTCTCTCTCTCTCTCTCAAGTAGTCATGTATTGATAGTGGTCATGAGGTACAGACATGGCAGGAGGTGGTTGTAGCTAGTCTGTCTAAGCATGTAGGCAACCAGGTACCAAGAGCTAACAAACCAACAAAACATGCAAGCCAATATGCAAACAAGCGAGCAGAGCAAAGCAAAGCAAGCAGTGCAAGCCGAGCAGCCATGCCGTGTGTGTACACCCTAGTCCCCTAGCACTGAAACATGCTGGCCAGCAGCAACACCCGACCCCGAATACCTCCCTCTCCTCCCGTCCTGTGGCTCCCTCCTACCATACCATAGTCCCCCTGCCCCCTATCCTCCTCCCTGCAACTTCCTCTCATCTTCCTTCCGCCGCCCTCTCTTTTTCCCTCCTGCCCCTCTAAGCCGCTCGGGCAGGAGCCTCCCGCTCCTCATACTCATCCTCAGCCATCTGCCAGAGGTCCCCTAGCCGTGGGGCCCAGGGGTCTCCCGCAGCCTGTGGGAATGCCGCTTCATCTGCTCGGTTGGACTTGGAGAGGAGTGAGATGGCTTGGCTGCGCTGCAGCATCACTGACCACCTCTGTCGGTAGTGTGCATTGAGCCGAGCGGCAGTTGTTGTGAGGTGCCCCTGTCTGAACTTCGTCCTCGCTGCGTGGGTAGCAAGCATGCGAAGGAACTGGACTGTGTCCGCCGCCATGGCCCCGTAGGTCTCGACAGCCAGCCCAAAGAATCCGGCATAGGTGGGGCGCCCTTCATAGAGCCGATGCTTCCTCTGTGAGGCTTCCTCCGCGGCCCACCCAGGCGGCCTGCGGGCCCTGCTGTCTCTGTTCTGTAATACTGGGTCCGTCACGGTGACATCCGTCACCCATGTTTCCCCTGACTCCTGGTCCCGTATCGCTAGGTCTGCTCGTTTCCTGAGGACTGGCGGTGAGAATGCTGAGGTCTCATGAAACGTTTTGTAGCCCGCTTCATTAGCCATCCGCAGCGCCGCGTAGACTAGGGCGTTGTGGGTTCTGACTGCATCGCCCCCGTCCTGGCAGCTCAGCAGGTGGTTCGGCAGACTCTTGTCCCCAATCGCTGAGTTGTCACGTTTGCACGGGCACACCTCAGCTACTGGCAACTCCATGCCCAAGCGTAGGCCCAGGGCCAACGAGAACTGACCAGGGGAAATAGAGAGGTCAGCTCTCGTTGGTACCGCGTGTAGCCAGTCACCCGCGCCAGTCCCTCTCAGGCTTATCAATCTCAGCGCGTGACCCCTGTTGGTGCCAGGCCTGTCCACCACCGTGTCCCCCAGGAGCTCGACCGCGCGCTGCTGGTTGATGATTTTGGAGAGGCACAGCTGCAGGCTGCCTGTGCCCTTGTTCCCCGTCCTGTAGGCTCCCAGCGCCACCTGTGCCTGAGCTGGCAGCCCCTCCTCTAAGCTCGACAGTGTGCTGCTGTCCGGCGGTGGTGGGCTCCAATCGTGGGAGAGCAGGGCCGTTGCTCTGTGTAGCAGGCAGTCCGGGGGAAGATTCAGGTGCTGGAGAAGGGTGTGCGCTGCCGTGACAGAAGCAATGTAGGCAGCCGGGGCCTCCGAGACAGGGTCAATGATTCCTAAACCACCCAGCCGAATCGGGAGGGTAGCCTGTCGCCACAGTAGGCTCTGCTCCAACTCCGAGTTGGGGATGCGAAGCTTTGCAGCTGTGAGCGCCGAGCCAACCAATGCCTCACTCCAGTCCCTCCACTCCTCTGCGCCCAGGGTCGTCGCCGGCGTAGTCCTCAGCATGTATGAGATGCGGCGAGAGATGCTGCGGGAGACTATAAGCATGGCATGTTGCGGGTTGAGCTGAGAGACAAGGGGAAGGGGCGAGGCAGCTTCCTCCAGTGCCGCCCGGACTTGGGTGGTGCAGAAGTCGTTGCTGCCGATAGGACTGCCAAGGACCCGTATCCCGCCCGGGTCTGCAACTAAGCCTAGTGGTAGCTCCTCGTTCTCTCCGTCGTGCGCAGCTCCCCACGCCGATGACTTTGAAATGTTGCAGCGTAGTCCATATTCTGCCAAGTCATCCGCTATCTTGGTGAAGGCACGGCACGCTGCTTCCCGCTGGCCGATAATGGTGATGTCGTCCGCGTAGGCTACCACTGCCACTTCCGGTGTTGTCGCCGAGACGCTCATGAGGGCTGGCTGGATCGCTGCCGCAAACAAGAGAGGGCCCAAGGGATCTCCCTGTCTGACGCCACGTGAGCTCTGGATTTGGTCTACTCCCAGTCGAGCATCTACGAGCAATGGCGATGGACCGTCGTACAGGTTTCGGACAAGGGGAAGTAGCGAGCTCAGGTTGGACCACTGCAGCGAGCCTAGGAAAGCCCGTCGCTCGACACTGTTAAAAGCGTTTTCGATGTCTAGCTGGAGGGCAATGCGGGTCTTGTCCTCACGGAGTAGAGAGCGGACGGTATGGATGATGCACTCCGCACCTCCTGGAACTGCCACGCCAAACTGAACTGGTAAGAAAAAATCCCTAATCTTGGGCCCAAGGGTATGCAGCGCCGCCTTCGCCACTATGCGTAGCAGGGTTTCGCCTATTGCTATAGGTCGCACTCCCCCATTCGGCTTCTCTAGAGTGATCAGACGGGAAGGTAGTAGCAATTTCCTTACGTGGGAGGCCTGGAAAGTGCTGAGCAGCCGATTTACCATCTTGGCGAAAAACAGCAGCAGCTCTTCGTTAGCTAGGGCGGGGTCTCGGAGGTGTTCAAAACAAGTACCAGAGGGTCCCGCCCCAACACCATTCGGGCACTTCGCCAGGATTTCGCGAAGCGAGTCCAGCGAAACCGCCAGTTCTGACTCTGTGATTCCGGTAACCCACGCTGGTATCTGGCTACCCGCTGCAGGGTGTTTCGCTTGCAGAGCTTCAAGTGTAGCCGGGGTTGCTTCTGCTAGGGGGGACGTTCGCAGAGCCGCTACCGCTTTCGAAATGTTTCCTTTTTTCACTAACCCCTCCGCTCGTGCACAAACCCCTTCCTCGTCAGGCTGGTGCCGTACCGGGGCTCCTGTGTCGGGGATGACTCCTGCTTCCTCGAAGAGCTCGGACCATTCGCCTCGTTGGAATTTGTGCAGCCTAGCTTCAATCGCTGCCCAGCGACTCCCCAAGACAGGTTCGGGCGCAGGCCTGAGGGTGAGCCTCGGAAGGAACAGCAGCACCATCCAACCACCTGGGCAGCTGGGATTTTTATCCAGGCGAATGAGTGCTGCCAGCATGCACAGACAGTACCTGTCCAGGAGGTGTGGTGGCAGCCGGCGGACGAGGAATGGCTGGTCCCCTCGCTGAAGCACGTCTACATTCCACTCCCCCGCCATGTGCCAGATGGCGTCGTCGCCGGCCAGGTCGGCCGGCGAAGGCACGTCAGTCTCCTCCGTGGCAGGTGCTCCTCCTACCGCTGGGTTGCTAGGAATACCCCCCCCCGCCGCCCCGGTTTGAGGTTCAGGGTTGTTCCTCCTCCTGGGTGCCTCCTCCTCTTCCAACGAGATTTCTTCAGAGGTCTCCTCCTCCCCAGCCATAAACTCTGGGTCGGCCCCGGGGTTGTCAGAAGCTTCTTGTCCCTCATTCGTCTGCAGGATCACTCTTTCAGGCCTGGCGTGACGCTCCCGCCAGGGACCAGTCCTCGCGGGGATTTCCGATCTGGGTGGTTGGTTGCGCCCTCCCCGTCCGCCTCTCATCCCCCCGCGCAAAACCCCTCGTTCTCTCTCTCTCTCTCTCTCTCTCTCTCTCTCTCTCTCTCTCTCTCTCTCTCTCTCTCTCTCTCTCTCTCTCTCTCTCTCTCTCTTATGGTCCGTGTATTGATAGAGCTTGGAAGTACAAACATGCAGGGTATGGATGCAAGGTCTAGCTAACTCATTGTGACAAGTAAACAACCAAACCAACTAATCACACAACTACCACACTACTACCCTCTCTAGAGCTCCAGAAAAGGCTCCACTACCGCAAAGCAGTCCCCCAGGTGCAGATCCTGCCCTATTCCTCCTACAGGTGGGTTTTCTGCCACCGCTGCCTCACCCAACTTAAGTAGGAGCCCCACGGATTGAGCCCTCTGAAGAGCCACTGACCATCTCTGTCGGAACTGGTGCAGGAACTTGGCGGCATAGAAGGATTTTGAGTCGGCGTTGAAGTGTTGCCGAGCCGCTGTGTCCGCTAGGAGTTTGAGGAAGGTGGGTACCTCTGCGCATGGGCAACCGTAAGTGTCTACTGCCAGTGGGAAAAAGCCAACCGTCTCCGGTCGGTTGGCATAGTGCTTGATCTTTTTATCAGCTTGCTCTCGAGCCGCCCACCCTCTGCCTTTTTGTGCCTCCGGGTCCCTGGTGCTGATGGGGTCTGTGATGGTAACGTCACAGATATAGACCGCCCCACTGCTTCTTTCCGTCATGCTGAAGTCGGCCGTCTGTTCCTCGACAGGGCAGTATGCGGCCGACTCTCTGTGAACTATAAACCCCGCGTCCTGCGCCATGCTAACGCAGGCATCCCGCAGTTCGTTGTGGGTATTGATGTGCTGTTTGCCTGTACCGCAGCGGAGAAGGTGATTCGGGAGGCGGGGGTTAGTGATAGCCGTGTGGTCAGCGCAGTCACAATTCTTTGGAGTTGAAAACGGCAGGGCTAGTCGGAAACGCACGGCGTTGGCGAAGTGCTTTGGTCCTATCCGTCGTGTGGGTTCGATGGGG